TTTTTTCATTTTTTTCATTTTTTTCATTTTTTTTTCATTTTTTTCATTTTCTTTTCATTTTTTTTTCATTTTTCATCATTTTTGCTTCCAGTGGTGCAAAAATTTTCCAAAAAATAAAAAAATGCAATTTTCCTCGAGTTTTTTTCATTTTTTTTCATTTTTTGATCATTTTTTATCATTTTTCATCATTTTTTATCATTTTTCATCAATTCCACCACCGGAAGCAAAAATGATAAAAAAATGATAAAAAAATGAAAAAAACTCGGGGAAAATTGCAATTTTCCATTTTTTGGATTTTTTTTTGCACCACTGGAAGAAAAAATGATAAAAAAATGAAAAATAAAATGATAAAAAAATGATAAAAAAATGAAAAATAAAATGATAAAAAAAATGAATGAAAACATAAATGAAAAAAAAATGATAAATAAAATGATAACCAAAACGATAAAAAATGAAAAAAAAAAATATTTTGACCTGGCCCAGTCTGTGGCTGCAAGTTTTTCATAACTCTGATTCCTGGGCTGTTGGATCGCTGACTTTCCTTGCGAGCTTTGGCCTCTGTACCTCGACAGCTTCTGCCGGGTCCTCTGCTGAAACAGCAGGGGCCCCAGCTTCCGCTGGCGATTCTTCCATTCTCTCTTCTTCTTCTAACGGACTTACGGCCAACCCTGCCGTTAGTTTCCCGACTTCCTTTCCAACTTCTGCTTTGTGGTGTCTTCGTCAACCCAGTAGTCAAACACGTAGACACCCCTTTCAATTCGCAACTTGGTGGATTTCCCACCTTCTTCTTTCAACACTTGGTCTACAAACTTTTGGATTCTCTTTGCTGCATTCGACCCAGCTGGAACTATGTTACCACCCTGGTTGTCCAATATTACCATATTCCTCTTACACACTTCCGACCCACTAGCCAAGATGCGGTGCACATCGGTCACCCTTGCATTCAAGCTCTTGTCCGTGTAGTTGGCGTCACTGCCATACAACTGTACTTGGCCATGGTCAGAAAGTAGTTCACCTGAGGCTGTTTTGTAGCGGGTGGACTGCTTTTCACCGAATGCGTACTTTCCAAACTCTTTCAGTGGTACGGTTGAAACCGCTGCTCCAGTGTCAAAATTGACAACCACATGCTTGTACAAACCCTGGAGTTCTGGTTCAAACTCGTTCGAATCGAAAGAGTTCAAATCCGCCCAACTCATGATTCCATGGGTTTCATCATTGTCCCCAGGATTTGCTGCTCTACGTTCAGCATTGGTCATCCTAACATCATCCATCTCATCTTCAGTCCTAGTGATTACTGCATCATCATCATCTTCTGCATCAACCCTTGCAGCACTTGACGCAGCTCGGCCGGATTTCCTTTTTCCTCTCTTTGCCTTGCCCTTTCCGCGACCTTTGTCGCCCTTGCCTTTGTTCTCGAAGAGTCCCGGATTTCGCCATGGTGCATTCATGTACATCTGATCCTCAGTGCGATTCTCGAACTCCCGAAGTCCTTTGATCTCTGTGGTCGCGCTAGGCTCTCTCTCTTCTTCGGGATCATCCATGACATCTTCATGAGGTCTTTCTGACATTGCCTCATCTTCTCCTTCAGTCTTTACCTCTTCTTCCTTTGGCTCCTCAGCTCTTCGTTTCTTTGGTGCTGGTGGTGGTCGCATTTCAAGCTGAGAAATGATCTGCTTCGTCTTCTTCTCCATACGTACCAATTCCATCTCCTTGTCATCGTGGAGCAGCTTGCATTTCGATCCATACCTGCACGAACCATGCAAGAAGAATCTGCAATGCTGGTTCTTCAGTCCATCGATGACAGCCTGGTCATGAGAGAATGGGCATGGATCCCTTTTGCATTCTCCTTCCCATGCCAACGCTCGACAGGCTGTGGTACGCTGTCTCCTTTCCTTTCTCTTTCTGTTCCTCTTCTGCTTCTTCGCAACTGTCTTTCCTTTGGTCTTCTTCTTGGTTCTCATCTCGGTTCGACCTCTCTCCATCACTTTTCGTTCGTCATCCATTGTCTCTTGTCTGAATGACTCAAACTCTTCCTTGGTGAGGGGTCTGAACACCTTCTTTTCCTTATAGGATCCCGTTCTTGACATTCCACTGGAAACTTTCATTGAACTTCCTGGTTCCTCACCTTCCTTGATCACTTCAGTCTCCATGCCTTGGTACCCGATCTGTTCCGTATCTGCTGGTACCTTTTCCTCCTCTTTCAGTGCTCTGGTTCTATACTCCTTGATCCACTTCGCATGTAGTTCCTTTCGAACTCCAGCTCTTTCACCCACACCTTGCTGTCGGTGGATGATAGCTCGGCGTCGTGCTTTCTCCTTACGCCATGCTTCATTGTGTGGAACTCCTGCTGCGATAGCCCTGAAGTAGCGCGCATCATGCCATTGCTGATCCGTCAGGTTCTCTTTGGTCAGCATCTTCACAGGGTTTTCTCTGGTACTCTTATCCTGTTTTGAGATGTAGTTGCGTAACTGCTTCAACTCCTCTTCAATTTCTGCGATGCGTTTCTCATGTCTTTGAACTTCTTCCTCATCTTCAGCATTTTCGATCATTTCGGCCAACTTGCGTTTCTCATGGTGCAATCGGCCAACTTGAAGTCCTTCAATGGTACGATGCATGAGAACGCCAGTCATCGGGGTCACAACTCTGCCTGAATCAGGCAGGGTCGTTTCCTTTGCGACTGGTTTCTCATCATCTTTTGCTTCCGCTTCATTCTCATCCTTCTCCGGCGATTTTGCCAACTTCTCCAACTCCAATTGCCTCTGGACTTCATTGTCGTCCTTTTCAGCTGTGAGGAATTCCTTAGCTTCGTTCAGAATCTTCCTGATGTTCTCTCTTTCCTGATCCATGTCGTACTCTCTCATTTCATCAAGGTATCCTTCCATCACAGCCTCGACGTCCTCGTCGTCTTCGGCTTCATACCCTGGATCTTCATCAGGCTCTTCTGGTTCTTTGGTCTCACCCTCGGCTTCATCTTCGGTTTCATCCTCGGCTTCAGAACCTGTGGTATCATCCACAGTATCTTCATCTTCTTCTTCTCGGATCGACCCAACTCCGTGGGCAGACCTCCTTGCAGCATAGTCCATGGCTGCACTTGTAGATGGCCCTGCACGGTCATCACATGAACTGCAGGCATCTTCGAGTCCTTCTCGGCGGAACACCATCTGAGCCATTGACTGGGCAACCGATCCACGGTACTTGCTTGCAGCTTCAACTGATGCCGCAAGTCTTTGTCTGTACCTTGTGATCGGAATGTCCCTCCATGTCATCGCAGCTCCTTCTCTCAGCAGTCTTCGGTACCTTTTCCTTGCTTCTGCTCGAGTTGCATCTGGCAATCCAGCATTCGGTACTTCGACTTCTCTCGGTATCGGTTCATCGTCCGAGACTGCCGTCAACATGGCAAGCTCGAGATAGCCGGTTTCGGCCTCTCTTTCAGGTTCCTGATGTTCACCCTGTTGTTCCATACTGCTGATTTGTTTCCCTTTTCCTTTGGATTTTCCTCCTTTACCTTTGCCTTTGTTGTTGTTGCTGTTGTTGGGAGGTGACCTGCAATCCTTCTGGTAATGTCCAGCCTTTCCGCAGTTGAAACAAACCACGGACAGGCTTGAGCCAGAATTGCCACCATGTTTTCCATGTTTTCCACTCGACTTACCTTTTCCTTTATCTTTCGCTTTGCCTTTTCCTCCATGTTTGCCTTTACCTTTGGAACCCTTTCCACCTTTCTTGCCTTTTCCTTTGCCAAATCCTCCAATGTCCATGTCATCTTCACCTTTCGGTTTGCTGCCAAGTGACTCGATTTTGAGCTTCACTCCAACTCGCGTTTCAAGGTAGCTGGCGAGTTCGGCATGCATGTCATCGAAGTCCAAGAAACGACTTCTGTTAAGTTGTAGGTGTCTTTCGACCTCTGGAGGGCACATGGACTCCAAGATCGACATCTTGATGTCCTGAGCTATGCTCTGTCTATTTCCTGCGCTGTCCTTTCTGCTCTCGTAGCGGTTCACAAGTTCCATCCATCCTTCAATCTTCTCACTGAGTTCCTCAAGTTTGCATTTTCCTGGATTCAAGATGTGCCTCAAGAGTGCCGATTTCTTGGCACCAGTAGAGGGATCGTATCGGCGATTGATACGTCGCCAGGCCTCAAGTCCATTGGCCTTTTCTGTATTCCTCAAAATCATGAACGGTTCTCCCTCAAGCAGATTCTGCAACACAGAATAAATCTGTGCGCTCTTGTCCTTCAGGTCATCCACTGGACTAGCCGTGCCCACGCCGAAAGCAGCTTGGGCCCGAGCTTCCGTCACAGTGTTTTCCTGTTCTTCACACCAATTCAGTACTTGCTCCATCTCCGGGAACACTGAAAACATGAATGACTCTGTCTTGATTCTCCATCTGAGGTAGCTCTCACTCTCTTTGCCACTGAACTTATCCGGCTTTCCGATTCCTCTATTGTCCACTAGGTTGATTTTCTTTTCGTCTTTCTTCATTGCGTTTGCGACTTCTGTCTGTGCTGTTGCTAGTGCTTGAATTGCGGGTCCCATCTGTGCTCCTGCCGCTTCCAATCCTTGCATGCGGCCTTCTATCAGAGCGTTCCTTTCTTGGCTTTGTTGGAGCAACTGTCCAAGCTGATTCACTCGATCCGCCAACTGAGCTAACTGCTCTTCCGGGGTAGCCATTGGTATCACTTACCCAAGGAGCCCTTTACCGGAGCCAGTGCTCCGCTACCACTTTCACAAAATATGCACAGCAAACAGCACACTCAGCTATTTTACCCTTGAGCCAAAACATACGTACAACACAGTGGTTGTGTGACAATTATGTGGAGGTGTAAATTTCAACAATGTATCATCTTTTTCATAAATACAATCGCTTCGCATTGACTCCTGCTTTGGAAAATACCATCATTTCAAACAAAATTCGAGAAATCATATCCCAAATTCTCATCCGCTGGTTGTACCCAAACATGATTAAACATGAAATGAATCAAAGATGCCATGGGTATATCGCTCCTCCTCTGAACCTTCACTTCTACCTCTTGGTCCGTGGCAAACTGCTTCTTTGGCGAGACGTCGATGTCCAGGCGCCATAGGATGTAGCTGCAAAGGTCCTCCAACCCCTGATGAGATGCAGTGAGCTGCAACATGAGATACAGTTACAGAGATATGATATGTGTATATACTTGTACAGATCATATGTACATATATAGCTATATAATTATATATACATGACAGTAGATAGAATATGGATTCTTCAAAAATACACCACTTTGACGACTTGTTTGACACGTCCGTATTCAACATTCCCAAGGGCTCAATAGACTTCGATGGGGTGTTTGGTCATTTCGGTATCGTTTTGGATCCTCAAGTTCATGGTCATTGATTGCATTAAACCATCCATTTTGGCTGATGAAAGATTGATCCGTCACTGGATGAAGCTGGTGATCAGAAAAATGTTCCAAATAAATCTATATGCAGCTTGGTCCAACAAAACCAGTAGTCATGTCGTCATGTAGTCATCTAATTTTCACAAACATATAGATCTAGAATCTAAAATAAAAATAGAGAACATCATAGAACATCTATGGATGATCAATTCCCCAAAGCTATTGGTTTCCCATCACCTCAAGAGTTTTTCTAAAAATCGGTCCTCGACCATCTCAGCCAGGAAGACCAGACACAGCACCCGCACTTCAGGAGCCTCCCAGCTGTAGCCTCTCCCAATGCAGAGCCGTACCAAGATCAACGCCAAAATAGCGCCGAAACGCGGATAACCCATGCAGTAGCCTTGGAGAAATGGTGAAACCATCTGAAACCCCCGTGAGTTGCTGACCAATGCTGACCCTCCATGTTGAGCCGGGGAATTCACATCCTTTCTATCGTTTTAACTGATAAAGAAACTTGCGATATTGACCATCTGAAACGGGAGTTCAGCATCGATAATTCCATCCCAGATTGATAAACCCTGGTCATTTTTATTGAAAGGTGGTTCCATCGAACAGTGATCAGTGATAATTGTATAATAAAAATGCTACCCCCGCCCCCCAAAACCAAAATCTGGGGTAGTTGGCGTTACAAAAAAGGATAACGGATGCTGATGGTAATGAGTAAGTAATGAGTATGATCCATTACTTTGGAGTATACATGTCTCAAGTTACACCATCTGATGGTGATTCACCAACCCAGTTGGGCGTCCAGCCGGTTCCTGGGAAAGTTTGGGATCAGCAAAATCGTGGTTGTTCCAATATGTTTTGGTACTATAATATCTGTAAATATCTGTAATATTTGGCTAAGCTGAAGAGCAATGCTCTGATGGATCCAAAAACCTGCCCAGGTACGGTACGGTGGGTGCCCTGTTTGCCCCTCCGGCGGGTGTGAAAAGGTACGGTCCTTTGGTGCGACTGAAAGGTGCGACTGTTTTTTTGGTACGGTCATTTGCTGCGGATCCATGGCGAATCTCGGTCCATAGCAACGGATCCTTGCCAAGTAGCGAGGTCCGTTGCTATGGACCGATACTCACCCAAGATCCGTTGCTACGGACCGATATTCACCCAAGATCCGTTGCTATCGATCGATACTCACCCAAGATCCGTTGCTATGGACCGATACTCACCCAAGATCCGTTGCTACGGACCGATATTCACCCAAGATCCGTTGCTATCGACCGATACTCACCCAAGATCCGTTGCTATGGACCGATACTCACCCAAGATCCGTTGCTGCGGACCGATATTCACCCAAGATCCGTTGCTATCAACCGATACTCACCCAAGATCCGTTGCTATGGACCGATACTCACCCAAGATCCGTTGCTACGGACCGATATTCACCCAAGATCCGTTGCTATGGACCGATACTCACCCAAGATCCGTTGCTATGGACCGATACTCACCCAAGATCCGTTGCTATACCCAAGATCAGTTGCTACGGACCGATATTCTCCAGGGATCCGTTCTTATGGTTATGGTCTGACATTTGCCATAGATCCGTAGCAGTGACCGTACCAAAAAGCATTCGCACCTTTCAACGGTACCAACTGACCGTACCAAAAAGCACTCGCACCTTTCAACCGTACCAACTGACAGTACCAAAAAGCACTCGCACCTTTCAACCGTACCAAATGACAGTACCATATTAGCAACTGATATTCGATGAAATCTGCTGCAAATCATCGAATATCAGTTGCTAATATGGTACTGTCATTTGGTACGGTTGAAAAGTGCGAGTGTTTTTTGGTACGGTCAGTTGGTACGGTTGAAAGGTGCGAGTGCTTTTTGGTACGATCATTGTTGCGGATCTATGGCAAATATCGGTCCGTAGCAACGGATCTTGGGTGAATATCGGTCCATAGCAACGGATCTTGGGTGAATATCGGTCCATAGCAACGGATCTTGGGTGAATAATATCGGTCCATAGCAACGGATCTTGGGTGAATATCGGTCCGTAGCAACGGATCTTGGGCGAATATCGGTCCATAGCAACGGATCTAGGGCGAATATCGGTCCATAGCAACGGATCTTGGGTGAATATCGGTCCGTAGCAACGGATCTTGGGCGAATATCGGTCCATAGCAACGAATCTTGGGTGAATATCGGTCCATAGCAACGGATCTTGGGTGAATATCGGTCCATAGCAACGGATCTTGGGTGAATATCGGTCCATAGCAACGGATCGTGGGTGAATATCGGTCCATAGCAACGGATCTTGGGTGAATATCGGTCCGTAGCAACGGATCTTGGGCGAATATCGGTCCATAGCAACGGATCTTGGGTGAATATGATCTTGGGTGAATATCGGTCCATAGCAACGGATCTTGGGTGAATATCGGTCCATAGCAACGGATCTTGGGTGAATATTGATCTATAGCAACGGATCTCGCTGCTTGGCAAGGATCCGTTGCTATGGACAGAGATTCGCCAGGGATCCGCACCAAATGACCGTACCAAAAAACAGTCGCACCTTTCAGTCGCACCAAATGACCGTACCAAAAAAACAGTCGCACCTTTCAGTCGCACCAAATGACCGTACCAAAAAACAGTCGCACCTTTCAGTCGCACCAAATGACCGTACCAAAAAACAGTCGCACCTTTCAGTCGCACCAAATGACCGTACCAAAAAACAGTCGCACCTTTCAGTCGCACCAAATGACCTTACCAAAAAACAGTCGCACCTTTCAGTCGCACCAAATGACCGTACCAAAAAACAGTCGCACCTTTCAGTCGCACCAAATGACCGTACCAAAAAACATCGCACCAAACCACCGCACCGAAACACCGTACCAAAAAACACCCCACCGAAGGCGTACCCAAGGGGTACCCCGTACCCACGGCGAAGGGCTATCAGAAACCCATGTTTCATTGCTCTTGAACTTAGCTAATGTAATATCTATAAATAATGGTCGAAGTTTGGATGATTTGGGGATACCGCCATGTTAAATGAAAAAAACAAAAACGTCACTCAATATGTCCCATTTATGACTGCAGTAGTTGGAGCGTTTACCCCAAAAGGGCCCCCCAACCAAGAGCCAAGTGGCTGTTATGTCTCACGATTGAACATCACACAAGCTAGTTGGGGAATCACTACCAATAGCCATTTTTTTTAGTAATGGTTCAAATCCTCGAACATTTATTGTTGGAGTGTGGAGATATCCGACCCATCTTGTCCCGCGGTGATTTTGTTTGGGCGCCATGGAGCGCTCCACTGCAGTGAGGAGAGTATGCCCATCTATGCGAACCGCAACTCTCCAAAATCTATACCGCGTTGTGGATTCCCACCAAAAAAAAATGACCAACAAAAGTTGTTTTTTTTTGCCTTGAAACCATTGGTTTCATTGGTTAGTCCTGGGAAATCGCCAAGGCACCGGACTCCCCGTGAGATGAAGTGCAGCCAGCTGTCCAAGCATCCGATGCGCGTCAGGACGTTCCACGCCACGCCACTCAGTATGGGAACCAACAGAGCCAGCAGGTCATCGTGTCGCTGATTGTCCACATAGAGCAGAGTCAGGCGCGCCCCTTCCGCCATGGCATGGAGGTTGCAAATAGCGATCGACACCTGGAAGCGGCGAAACCTCTTTTCGACCATGGAAACCAGGGACCCGCCTTGAAGGATGGTTCCTTCACCATGAGTGGTCCGGCATGATGACTTGGAATGTTGAGTTTCATCGGTATACTTAATGTTCAGATTCGATGATTCATTTCCGCTTTAAAAACAACCAAATCCTGGGACAGATTATTAGACTTCTCAACCATAAACTACGCCACCATTTTTGGGATGTAGTTGTTTCATCAATTGTTTCCTCCTGTTGAAGGTGGCCTGGGTGAAACCCCCTAAATAAAGATCCCTAATTTTGGAACCTTGGTAGAAACATTCAAAAAACCTACGATAACAAATAGATGGCCAATGCATTCGGATATTTTCTGCTTGGCATCTGGTTTCAAACGATATCCAAGTCCTGATGTTGCATTTTCTCAAATAAAGTGCATTGTTTGACCCCCACATAAAGACCCTTACGTTTGGGACCTTCCAAACAGAACCAAACAAAAATCAATTTAAATTCAATTTCAAACTATAGTTACATTTAGATTCCATGTCAAGGAAGTGCTCGGAGCCAATTCTCATTCAATTTCAATCAAAATCCGCCCGCACCAAAGGTGCCGAGGCGTGGTCGTTTAGCAACGAAGGATACGAACGGACAGATCTGTCAGACTGGTACAGCTTCAGCTGCAGGCCAGAAACCCCCACCCGCCCATGTCATGGTCAATGTCCTGTATGTACGCTGTATGTAGGAGGCTCTATGTAAGATATAGTTTACACACCGCACCCCACTCCACGCCCCTCCCTGTGCGATGGGTGGGGTGTTATAGAGGTATCAAGTAGATAGTGTATAGATAGTACGGGGCTAGCACGCATGTATAGCACATGAAATCTTGATGTAACTAGTATGTGGCTACTATACAGGTATTTTATGGGCAATAATGCGCTGTAAATAAAATGATGTAGGGTTTAGCTTCCTTCCCCCCCCTGTGGGATGGGTGGGGTGTTATAGAGGTGTCCTGGTAGGTAGTGAAGTAAGTCACCAACATGCACGTGGCGCGGGCTGAGGTCCACCATCGCTTCAACATGGGGGACATTACCGGGCAATACGAAATCCTCAAGACACCCGTTTTCACTGGTATTTCCACGTTTTCTAGGCATCGATGACGCTTCGCGTTGAGCAGTCTTGGGCCCAACTTCGGCACGAGATGCCCCCACGCAGGACCAAGTTGCGCACGTTGAGCCCAACTTGCGTCCAAACGTGCCCACGCTGCGCCATGTTGGACCCCAGCTGGGCTAAGTTGGAGCCAACAACTGGCCCGAGTTCGGGGCAAGTTAGGCCCAAGTTTGGCCCAAGTGGGCTCCTGTTCAGCCCAACTCACGGGCAAGGACGGCCAAGTTTGACCCCAGTCGGCTTTGATTGGGCCAAGTACGCCCGCTCCTTACCTATCTATCCATATCATATTATCCATTCCCTGGGCGCGGGCGGTTCTCGTCGCGAAGCGACTCGAATTATTTTAAGCCAATCTAAATCTACTGTCAAATCAAAGTTAATTTCAAGTAAGTCAGTTCAAATTAGAATCAATTAAAATCCAAGTTGGGTTCAAATTCAAGTAAGTCGGTTCAAATGAGAAAAATGAAATTTGATTCAAATTCAAACTGAATTCAATTTCAGTTCAACTTCAAATCAAATCAAGCCAAGTCGAAGTCAACTTAGAATCGATAATTAAAAACTGTAGTTCATGA